CTTCAGTTGATGGACACTTAGGCTGTCTCCATCTTTTTGCCATTGTAAACAGTGCTGCTATGAACATTGATGTGCATATATCTACTTGTGTTATGGATCATATTTCTTGAGGATAAATACCAAGTAGAGGAATTGATGGATCATAAGGTATTTCTATTTCCAACCTTCTGAGGAAGTGCCATATTGCTTTCCAGAGAGGTTGGACCATTTTGCAATCCCACCAGCAATGCAGAAGCGTCCCAGTCTCTCCATATCCTTGCCAGCATTTATTTACTTTTTTGATCTTTGCTGTTATTGCTGGTGTGAGATGATATCTCATTGTTGTTTTGATTTGTATCTCTCTAATGGTTAGTCATCGTGAACATTTCTTCACATGTTTGTTGGCTGCCTGGATCTCCTCCTTGGTGAAGTGTCTGTTCATGTCCTGTGCCCATTTTTTAATTGGGTCCGAGGAGCTTCTTGGACACACAGGCTTGATTCCACCCTTAGGTGATTGGTATGTCAGGGCTGGACTCTCAATGTGGTGCTGTAGGATCAGCACTGGTCTGTAAACCACAAGATCGGCAGTTTAAACCCACCAGCTGCTCCCTGGAAACCATATACAGGGTCTCTATGACTCGATGGCACTTAACAACAATGATGTATTTGGGCTGGGGCGTGGACATCTGCGTGTTGGGTAAATGCTGGTGTCTCAGATGGAAGTGGTACAGGCTGATTTCAGGGGCTCCTTCTAGCTGGGATGTCAGGTGACCTCAGGGACCAGCCTGTGAACCTCAGACAGTCTGCTGGAATCACTGCCTTGGAGCCTCCTTCTGTTTGTGCAGATGCCCCAGAGCTGACCTGATACGCTGTTTGTGTGTCTGGTTTCAGATCACACGGCCCAATAGATGTGCACAGAGCATTCAACCCAACAACAGCACAATACACATTCTTTTCCAGTGCACATGGAACATTCTCCAGAATAGACCATGTTTTAGGTCACAAAGCAAATCTCCATAAGTTTACAAATATCAAAATACTACAAAGCATCTTTTGAGACCACAATGCTATCAAATTACAAATCAACAATAGGAAGACCAAGGAAATCAAGTCAAATACATGGAAACTGAATAACACCCTGCTGAAAAGCGACTGGGTAGTAGAAGAAATTAAACGTGAATTCACAAAGTTCCTAGAAATAAATCAGAATGAAAACACAATATACCAAAATCTTTGGGACACAGAGAAAGCGGTGCTAAGAGGACAATTTATTGCAATAAGTGCACACATCCAAAAAGAAGAAAGAACCAAAATTAACACATTAACACGGCATCTACAACAATTAGAAACAGACCAACAGAGGGAACCTACAGCCACCAAAAGAAAAGAAATAATAAAGATTAGAGCAGAAATAAATGAAATAGAAAACAGAAAAACTATAGAAACAATCAATAGGACAAGAAGCTGGTTCTTTGAAAGGATTAACAAAATCGACAGGCCATCGGCAAACCTAACAAAAGAAAAGAGGGAGAAGACACAAATAACATGCATAAGAAACAACATGGCGACGTCACAACGGAACCGAAGGTAATCAAAAGGATAATAACAGAATACTATGAAGAGTTGTATGCCAACAAATTTGAAAACTTAGAAGAGATGGATACATTTTTAGATAAAGAGATCACACAGTCCAGTGTGAGTGAGCTCTGGGGAAACCCTGGAGGAGTGGAGGGTGGATGGACCAACCCAGTCCTGGTTTGCAGGGAGAGGTTCTGGAGGAGAGGGACCACCTCGTCTCTCCTGCTAGGCTCTGGGGCAGCCATGTCCTGTGATGGTCAGGGTTTGGCCACCAGTCCTGGGCCTCTGAGAGAGTCAGGACTCAGTCTGTAGCCTCCTCCCCTTGCTCTTCTCATTCCGCTTTGGGCTGCAGCCTGGGGGTCCAAAAGACACCCCAGAACAAGGACCGGAATAATCTGTGTTGGGGATGTTGAGAGAAAATGGGGAACAAACAGGGGTGGTTGGAGGTGGAGTTGCAGCTACCCTGAGCCAAGCTCTGTCATTTGTGTAGGCTCAGAATGAGGTTCCCCTACTCCCAGGGCATCTGAGCACCCAGATTCAGCTCAGTGGCATCTCTGATCTACAGGCCCAAAGGGACTGGCAAGTGATAGTCCAACCCTGGGTTTGAGGGTCAGTGTGGTACTGAAGGATAAAGCACTGGACCACAAGGTTGGTGGTTCAAACTCACCAGCCATTCCTTGGAAAGCCTATACAGGGTCATTATGAGTTGGAACCAGCTCTTTGGCACTAACAACAACAACAACAACAATGACAACTGTCCCCATGCTAGGTAGAGAGGCTGCTTAAAAATATTCATGTTGGAATCTTGGGAGCCCATGAGTGCATCAGGTTACCTGTCATAAAGGACTTTTTAGATGTGATTAAGGTTACAAGATTTACAAAAGATGATCATTGTGGGTGATTTGAGTGGGCCCAATCCAGTCACCAAAACCCAAATCAAACCCACTGAGTCAATTCTACCTCATAGTGACTCTATCTAGCAGACAGACTAGAACTGTCCCATAGGGTTTCCAAAGCTATACACCGTTACTGAAGCAAACAGCTTTGTCCCACCTTTCTCAGAGGAGCAACGGATGGATTTGAATTACCGACCTTGTGGTTAGCAGCCCAATACTTAACACTGCCAGGGCTCCTAATCCAATCACATGAGCCCTTAAAAAGCAGAGACCTAGCCAGCAATCTCAATTCTTTGTGTCCACCCAGAAGAAGTGAAGGCAGAAACGCAAACAGGGACGCACATGCCAGTGTTCAGTGGAGCACGTTTCACCAGCGCTACAAAGTGGGAACGGCTGAAAGGTCCATCAGCAAGATGATGGAGAAACAAAATGTGGTCTAGAGCCACACAGTGGAAGATGACTTAGTCTTAAAGCGAGATGAAGTTCTGGTACACAACCCAACGTGGACAGAACTTGAAAACATCACATTGAATGAAATAAGTCAGGTCCAATAGGATTCATACTGTGTAGGCTCTCTCTCTCTCTTTTTTTCTTAAATGTTTTATTGTGAATTATGTGATAGTTTACATGGGAGAACATTCGTTTTACATTCATTCTATTGTATATCATTGCCATGGTTACAATCCCCTCCATGCAATCCTTCCCTGTACCCCGCAGGTCTTCAGCACACAGTTGCTCTCCCTCTCTGGATCTAAACTCTACAGCTGTTCCATCGCTCCACGTCATCATCTCTGGCTCCATTCCAGGCATCACTGCTTCTCTGGGTAGGGTCCTGCTCTCTGCTCTTCTCCCTTGATGGTCCTAGGGACCTCCGCTCCTAGACTGAAAAGTTAATCACTCCCCTCCTTGCTATAAAACGTCCACCTTTACATTTCCGACCCTCACAATCAGTTCTGATAACAGTTATTCACTATTGTATCACAAGAGACCCGTCTGCATTTCATTGCATCAGCCCCGCCTAGTCAGATTGAATACTACTCACTGGAGATTCTACCTTCCTCCAGGCCCTCTGGATCTAGGTTCCCTCTTGAAAGCTTATAAGCCAGTCACTTCTTGCCTTTGTAGCTCCCTGCCCCCCATTTTGGGTAGCCAATGTCCAAGTTGTGTGTAGGCTCTCTCTTATACGGAATAAGGAAATAACATCATTCGTGGTGACAAGGGTGGGGGAAGGGGGCTTTGATTGCATGTTAATGGCAGTGTAATCATTTGTAAAATACTAGTGAGAAGCAGATACACAACATGAAGAATGGAATCTGTATGTAGAGAGTGTTGAATGGGTGACTGTCTTACTGTGTAGATTCATATCTTCACCATAAAAAAAAACAAATTGCTAAAAGGAAGGAAAGAGAGAAAGCAGAGCCTGTTCTCTGATTGGAGGCAGGAGACTGGGTGGGAAGAGATGAAAGATATCAGAGAGACAAGAGTCTGAGAGGGGCGTGATGACTTGCTACCTCTGCACCACAGAGCCCACGTATTGGCCCCAGAGATGCTTCGGGAACTCATGAAAAGCATGAGAAGGAATGCTGGAAGCTTCTAGCTGATGGCCAGGGAGGACATGGGTACCTCAGTCCTACAACCACAAGTGTCCCTAGAGGATGTGGTGATGATCACTGATTGTGAGACCTGGTTGGGTTGGATTCCTAACCTACAGACCTTGGAGACACTAGCAGGAGACTGTTTTAAGCCACTCAGTTGATGTTAATTTGTCACAATGGCAGCAGAAGGCAGAAACAGTGCCCTTTCTCCCACAGAGGTCTGTGGGCTATCCAAGGGTGGAGGGTACTGCCCGGTGGAGTTCCCGGACAGACCCTGCAGGGGCCCTTGGTCTGTGGCCTGCTCTGTGGATGGCACCCTTGGGCTCTGGATGGTGGCCTCCTGATTACTCCACTCTCTTTCTCACCTAACAGCTACTACCCCTCTCTGAGATGGGAGGAGGGGTCCTCCAAGGTCACCGGGGCCTACCACCATGGAAACATCACTCCTCTGGTGTCTGGCTGGGGCCTCCGGAGTTTCTCACCAGGATCATGGGGAACCTGGGCAAGAGGGGCTGATGAGGGGACAGCCCCCTGGGCAGTGGGGCAGCAGGCTGGGAGCTTCTCCTATTGGCCTGCAGACCTTGAGTAACTCTTTTCTCATCTTTGAGTCACATTTCTTCACCTGTAAAATGACGGGATGGGACAACAGGCCTTGACGATTCCTTTAAACTCTAAACTCTGGGGAAGTCTGAGGGCTGCATCCGAAGACAGTCCAGGGGAGAGGGACTCCAGCACCTGCCCCAGGACCCGGTGAACTGACCTTCCGGCCGGGAAGGGAGGGGTGCAGGGAGGGCGGGGCCGGCCTCGGGTGCCCGCCCAGCTCCGGGCGCGCCCCTGCCTGCCCTGCCCCGCCGCGGGCCGCTCACACCCAGTGCCGGCGCCCTGCGCGCCCCTGTCCCGCTGTCTGCGCCGCCGGCCACCGCTACCTGTCCCTGCCGGGTGCCGAGGGGGCATGGCTCGCCGGGGCGTCGCCGCGCTGGCGATGACCCTCGCGCTCCTGGCGGCGACCCTGGCTTGGGCAGGGACCCAGGCTTCGATACTCGAGGACGCGGACTACGACGTGCAGGAGACCTGGAGCCGGGAGCCCTACTACACACACCCGGAGCCTGAGCCGGAGCTCTTCTCGACGCCGGTGTCTCCAGGGACCAGGGAGGAGGGGCGCGAGCCGCCTGCGCCCAAACCGCCCAAGAAGGCGACCAAGCCCAAGAAGAGGCCCAAGAAAAAGTTGGCTCCTGTGACGCCGCCTCCAGGTGAGAGTTCTGCGTTGGGCCCGGCGCTGGTGCCGAGGGATGTTGGTGTCTCTGCTAGGGTTTGCAGCTGGGAGTGGGTTGAGGGGGACTGCATTGAGGGAGCCCGTGGCTTCCCCTTGGCGTCCTGTGCTTCTGGAGACATCATTTGCCCATGGCTTGCCCTCCAAACTCCCCAGAACTCAAACGTGAAACTCACTTCCTTACCCCTAGTTCCCGCCAGGGTGGCAGCGGAGTTGTGTCCTTGGGCAGCTGCCTGGCTCCTTGGACCCAGATTTATTGGATACACGATCTTTGGGCTGTTTTCACAGCGCATTTTCTTGGGTGTTTCCTATCCTGTTTTGGGAACGGCAGGCTTTCTTGGGCAGAGTGGCTTTTGGGGGTAAAGCTCAGCAAGTAGGATTTTACCCAGCCTCCACCCCTCGGATTCCTTGTCTCCCCCTTTGGGACCGGAAGGCACAGCCTTCCCGGTCCTCATATCTCTGTGACTGGACTGGGCAGGACTCGGGGGCATGGGCTCAGAGAACTGCAGGGTGGTCAGGGAGCTCCTGGTAGCCTGAGGTGCCCAGTCTCCCTTCCCTCTGTCCAAGCCTTGAAGAACTGACTTCCAATCCGCCCTTGGGAATCAGAAACTTTTAATTGTTCCAAACTTTCTTTACTCACTTGCAAGGGGGCTGCATCCTAGTATTTCAAGACTGGGGTTAAGCAAGCAGGACTGTGGTCAGATTCTCCTCAAGGGAGACATTTGTGCCTGCTGAGGCATTCCTGGCTTAGGTGGACTGCTCTTTGTTCCCAGGAAACCTGAAAGTCTGTTGCAATCTCAGAAGGAGAGAGGTGGAGCTGGGGCCCCTAGTGGCAGGTCCCCCTCTGGAGCCCCCTTGGCGCATCCACAGGGTTGCCCCTGCTTCAATTTGTGGACAGCTCTGACAATAATATGAGTTGTGGAACCCTCAGCATCCAGAATTTCTAAATCCAATGCACTGTTGAGTTTGTTTGTTGGCTTTGGAGTGAATGGGTTATGGGAATTAAAAATTGCAAAGGCAAGACGGGGAAGAGGCACGTATACTTGTGACTGTATAGAAGCTTTAGGTAAAACTCTCTCGTCTGATTCTCCCCATGGCTCCCAGGGGAAGGGTGCTTGTTTCTTCACAGATGAGGAACCTGAGGTGTAGGCAGTGGGGGTAATCCGCTCAGTACCCTTCCACAGAGTCCTTGTGTGCTTTTGAACACAGGCATTTTTTTCCGGTTGAGTGTTTGATTTGCGTCTGAGTGTGTTGAGTTTTTCTGGTTCTTGGTGCCTGTTGTGCATTTAGCACAGGACTGGCTGGGTGCAGTGGAGTGGGCTGCGGGGACGGCGGGAGGTTGTGGTGTTCACAGAAGGTGGTGGTAGCAGGAAGCTGGTGGCGATAACAGCTTGCTCTTGGCTACTAAACTAAAGGCTCCTAACCACTCCTGGTGTGATGCTGTGGATCAGCACTGGACTTCGGACCACAGGGTTGGCAGTTCAAACCCATCAACTGCTCCTTGGAAACACTATGAGTTGGAACCAACATGATGGCACTTAACAACAACCACTAGCCATTCAGTGGATCGGGGGCGGAGGGATGAATTTACTGAAGTGAAACAAGAGAAAAGGCATGTGTGTGGAGGGCCATGTGCAGATGAGGAGGGGCTGCTACACCAACCAGCTGTGCCCCTCCAATAGCCTCCAGAGCTGCAACCCACCCAGCCTCTGGCTGTCACCTAGATTGCTGATCCCCAAACTGAAAACAGGACCTTGGAGACTCCAGAACCCCCCTCAGAGGCTGGGATTGGGGGACCTCCTGGGGAGCTGGCCTCCTCTTAGGCTCAGCATGAATTTCTGTTGAATCTGGGGAGCCTTTTAGAGTACCTCAACTTCGACAAGTCACGTTTAATGCTGAACTCACACTTTCAACTCTGGTCCCTTTAATTTGGGGGTTTGGCCAACAGAACCTTCCACCCTGGACCCCAAATGTGGTGATTGGTTTAAGACTAGCTGTAGTTTAAGGAACTGGTGGCTCCATTTAGGTTCTGTGCACAACGTCATAGCCAGAAACCAGTTGCATCAAATCTGACTCATAGCTACCCCAGTATGTCAGGGTACGACTTTCCACAAGGTTTTCCATGGCTGATTTTTCTGAAGTAGACCGCCAGGCCTTTCTTCCTAGGTGCATTTGCCTGGTCACATGTACCCCCTGCAGACTCCGTGATACCATGAATGAGTCTATAAGTCACTTACCTCCGTATTGGAGTGTATCATAAGCTGGGTTTGTCTTAGCAATTTTGGAAGGCAGGTATAGAGGAAAGAACATCTTGCCATGGTCCCGGGTGCTTGTAAAATTGGGACGTGACTTTGCTGGCCAGACGGTGCGTGTTGATGCCAGGCAATGTTCTAGGTGCTGAGGTGTGAGTAAAGGGCTCGGTTTAGAGATGAAAAAGAATGCAAGGGCACCTGAAGCGAATTCAGAAGCATTCCAGGTACAGCACATTTTGTAGGTAAGAAGGTGTTTCCCAGGAAAACTTGATCATGTGTGGAAGTTGGGCCCAGGGGAAGATGGAAGATGATGCTCTGTGTGGCGGCTCCTGGGGGATCTTCCTTGTGGCTCCATCACGGACACACATCTTCTGATCCATCAAGAGACAGAATCCACTTCCCCAGGTGAATGGTCCTCCATTTATTTAGCTCTTTTTGGTTCAGCTTAGGACTTCCTACATTTCTGCATTTAGAATTGTTATGGGGTTAGGGAGTAAGCCTTGGTTTTCATTATATTAGGGTGAAGAATAGATAAAGGACATTTTTGGACTTGCAAGTGGATTTTGAGTGGCCTTACTTTGCACGTCATCTCCAAACGGATGTTCTTGCTTTGTATCCATACTCTTTTTAGAGAATAAAATGGAATTGAGAAATAAATACAAGTTACATAACTCAGCTACCTTTCTCCCCTCTTGAGAATGAGAAAGGAACCCTGGCAGCACTGTGGTGAAGTCCTCAGCTGCTATCCAAAAGGTTGGCAGTTTGGATCCACCAATCTTTCTTCGGGAGAAAGATGTGGCAGTCAGCTTCTGTAAAGATTACAGTCTTGGAGACCCAGTGCAGCACTTATAGTCTGTCATAGCGTCTCAATGGTTGGAATCCAATCGCCCGGCAGTGGGTTGGGTTTCTGAAGAAACAAAATAACCAACAAGACTCCCACAAGGCCACTTGGATTTTCTCTCCCCCTCCTTTGTGACTTGCTTTAGACGTAGGGTCAGATGTGCAGCTTTTCCATTTGGGTTTCTGTTGATTACATTATCCACTGCTTTCTTCCAGGACTGGTAAGTATGCGTCCTGTTGGAATATGTGCCCGCCCTCGAGCATTGTCATCCGGAGTTGAGTCCTGGAATTTGCAGAGTGGGCAGCGGAGCCTGCTTATTTGTGTCTCTGTGCCCAGAATTGGCTCTGGGTGCATAGCGAGTTTGCATTTTGTACAGTATTGCCCCAGTCACAGGGGAAAAGAACCAGAGAGTTGCTATCTGAGCATATTTGGTTGTAAACAAAGCCCTTTCTATTGTGTGTGACACAGCCAGTTGGTGGCAAAGTCTTTACTTCAAGCTTTGCTTCTGATGGAAGTGTCTCTGCCTAGGTTCAGGAGAAGGCCTTTATCAAGCGTATATTGCAGTCTGCTTTACGAAGCAATGGCAGTGCTGTTGGCATCTAAGATTCTAACAAGCAGTTCTCCCGACAGACATCTTATCATATGCTCACCATACAGGATCCTGAGCCCAGATAAACTCCCCAGGGAAACTCCTGAGGGAAATAGGAAGGAAAGAACGCTTTGTAAAAAAAAAAAAGAAAGAAAGAAAAAAGGGCATTTTGTGCACATCAGCAAGCAGCTTCCCAAGACACCACCTCCTTTTCCAGAATGCTTTCCAAAGTCAACTGTTCCTGCTGGTACATCTCAGCCTGCCTGTGCTGTGCCCACGGTTCCAGACCAGGGCTCATCATGTGTGAAGGATAAAGGGGAGTGGCAAGGGGGGTGCCCTCCTAGTTTCCAATGCAGGGATGATGGGTTGGGGCATCCGTGTATTGGGGTATTGTGTTTCTTCAAAATAGCCACCATGTTTGTAGTGGGTTCTGCCAGATCTCATGGTGGATAGTTCTGCATGCTGAGACAGTGGTGTTCTGACCCCCTGAAGCCTGCGCGACTGAGGAGTGCCTTTCTGGATGCCTCTAGGTACTGAGGAGTGCCCAGGATGCCGAACTCTCAGGCTTGGCATTGCCCACAATGAGCCCCCGTACCCTCATTGTTCCTTTCCATCTCTGCGTCTGCTCTGGGGGAATGGAGCCGTGAAGTGTCTGTCTTTGGAGAATCACAGGGAAGGGCAGTTTCTCTCTCTGGCTTGTGCCAGTCAGCTAGCTCCCCATTGGGCATCATGAGGAGGTGGGCGTGGCATAACCCTTGTCAGATGTTGACTTTAGAGTCTCACATCCCAGCTATGTGTTCAATCTTTGGTTCATGTACATCACGTTTGGTGTTGTTGTAAAGTGCTGTTGAGTTTGTTCCAATTCATAGTGACCCTGTATAGGGTTTCTTGGGCTGCAAATCGTGGGAGCAGACAGCCTCAGCTTTCTCCCATGGAGCTGCTGGTGGCTTGGAACCACTGACCTTATGGTTCACAGTCCAGTGTTTATCCTGTTAGGTGTTAAGTTTGTTCAGGATTCTGAGAGAGCAGGTCACCATTTGGCTCTGCCCCAAAAGGGCACTTGAGTCTTGTCCAGACTGAGGCCCCTCACTGCCTTGGAAACCCTATACAGCATCGCTATGAGTCCGGACTGACTTGACAGCACTCAACAACAACAACAACACTCCTCAAGGCAGATGAGGTCAGATGTCCTCTCAAACTTTGGGGACAGCTCAGAAGTGGCTTCTTCCATTCCTCAGTGCTCCGCAGAATAGTCTGAGTCCTGGGACTCCCATGTGGATCCTGCTCAGAAGGGCAGC